AACTAAGATTCTCTAAGAGCTCAGCAGAAATGAGGTAACACTTAGGACTCTTCCTATAACAGCAGTATCTTTTTTTGTTAAAATTGGTTAAAATAGTGCACATAATACACATTATATCAGCTACAACAAAAGAAATTTACGTAGCATTTTTTCAGTTCAGTTCATGAATGAAGTCAAGATACCTTTCATTAAATTGCTCACTGTTTCATAAGTAATGTATTTTTGTGTTATATAAAAATATCTTACAAACTTTAGGTAATGTAACACATGAAAAAACAATATTTATAATACCTGAGTTCTTTAAAAAGTTCAACATTCTGGTGAGTCATCAAGTTGTTTAGAAGCCATTCAAGGCACCTGAAATTAAAACATGTTAATTATTACATTATATGTATTTACAATTTATTAAATAGGACTTGCAGTTAAAATAAAAACAGTATTAATCTTGCTAGAACATGCTTAAAATTTTTAGTTTAACAATTGGAAACTTAGTACTATTTTTGTCAGCAGTTATTAAGGGACTATTCTCTTCATATTAATGAGAGCATTTTTAATTAACAAAATCTTATTTCACATCTGTGTTAAATGGTTTATGAAAGAGCTTGCATGTTTCTATTACCTTCTTTAAAATCTGCAAATGGGTACTATAATTCTCAAGAGTTAAAGAGCAAAGATTGCCAGTAGCTGCACTGATATAATGTATATTAGGCCTACTCTTAAAAAAATTTTTAATAGAAAACGTTCAGTAAAGAGTGACCATAGTTCTGATAAGCATGTATAACCCACTGACGGTCATTACAGCAAACACAACACTTCTGAGGAACTTACTAATTAGTCCAAAGTAAAAAGAGGCTTTTTATATTCTCTTATCTTTTTTTTTTTTAAATTCTCTTTCTTTTAACTATACATTTTCTTAAGAAACCAAAGAGCCACAGTCCCAAAAGTGGGATGGGAGGGAAATCAAGAAAGGCAACTCACTTTTTCTTTACAGAATCTAATCCATAGGTCCCTGCCGCTGTGTAATAGCCACATACAGTTTTCACATTAATTGTTTCCTTCATTGTCTCACCACACTGCTGTATTAAACCATCCTGTAAATATAAATAAGCACTGGGAAGGCCCATTTCACATGGGAAAAATTAGCTCTGAGTATGTGCTTTTACATATTTAAAAAGTGGGGAAAAAAAGAAAGAAGAAAAGAAAGGAAGAAAGAAAACTCATTGAGTGACAGCAAGCCTAAATTTTCATAAGTCCAGTAAAAATACTGAAAAAATCCAGCAAATATTCAACTCAATACTTGGAATTAGAAAACGGGAGTAGGGGGAGGCAGTAGAGGCGCATAGTGCTACTCTGACTCTTTTCGATTCTTCCCCTCTCTGGGACCTTTGCAAATTTCTTCAGCAGCACTCTGTCTTGCCTGTTCCTTCTGAAATTAAGATCTCTTTGCCACAGTCAGTTGACCATGTGATGGGCTAGGCAAGCAAACTATATGAATCATCAAGGGGTGTTTACTAAAGTTTAAAGCACCTATCAATATCAAAGAAACGT